TGAGCTTCTACTCATTTGCAAATAGTTTTTGTTTTCTTGCGTCAATCTGAGGAACTGGCTTCCACCATGATAAAAAACAAAGCAAACAAATGAGCTCGTCTTTTTCTCCTGACCATGACTTTCATGTGTGGAGCCAATTTTGATTAATATATTTCATTTATTTTAGAGAAGAAAACAATTTTTATCAGTGAATATTAATTATACAAAGAGATTTCATTTTGAGTACTATATTTTTATGAAAATGTTATACACTTAGACCACTTTGCATCCTTTGTAGTTTCCAGGAATTGCAAAAACTATCACTTCACAAAGATGACTCTCACTTTTACTATCGTTGCATATAAATATATGTTCTATAGCATTTTAGTAACCTGATCTCGCAAATTCTCCCATGAATTACATACATAAATAAATGAAAACAACAGACTGTAAGTCCATAGTGAATATATTCACCTCTACCAAAGTACATATGAATATTTTATTTGGATTCTGCCTGATCTGAACTGTAACCTATACATGATTGATTCTGATTTTTTTAGTCTATACCAATTTGAAAAAGTCAGAATACTATGTACAGTCTTTATCACGACATTCATTATCTATCAGCTCCCACAATGATCTTCCTATTGAATGATGGAATTATCTAAAATATGGTAGGATTTTGATTCATCAATAATGCCACAGAAAGAAATAATTACTGTTTTAAAATATAATTATTAAATAACTTAATTTCTGCTTAAAGATACAAATCATTTTCTCCCAAGTTGTCCTCCACATTTCTGATTTTTTTCCTTCCCTATTGCTGATTCTGACTATTTTTCTCAATTGCTGGCTGAGCTACCACCCCTATCTCTGAGTTTCTATCTCCAAGGATGCATGGATTAATAAAGTACTTGACCCATGCTAGTTCAGGCCAAGCTATGTACTATGTGAGAAAAGCTAATGGCTCCAAGTTTCTGTCAGTAAATTGTTCTTTGTTGCTGTGTCATGTTGTTTGTTTTGTTTCAGTAAAGCAGCAGCAATTTCTGAAGCAATTCTTCTAGTGACTCAGTGACACACATTTGTTAAAATTGAAATTACACAGCCAGCAGTCATGAAAAAGTGGCAGGGTAGCAAAGGTTGCACACACAATTTACATACTGTTTAGGACAGCACTTCTAAAACACACGGTGTGGTGTGGAAAAACATTTACAGCTATCTGACAGCATGAAGTGAGTACGCTGAGCACTTACTTGCCACAGGATCAAGAAGACTAGCTTAATATGATTCAAAATTTATTTTAATCAGACCCTGGAAAGTAAGACAGCAAAAGCTTTAAGTACAACAAATTAAGTATATGTGTTTCGGGATTGAAACTGCTTTCAATTTAGTGTTTTTACAGGCTGAAATCAGACTTATTTAATGTTGTTTTAGTCCCTTTTGAGTTAGGATTAAAAGATTGGTTCTCAAGGGCACGGTGCCAGGTTCAATTTAGCATTAGATAGTTCACGGCCATTCTAGCTAATGAAGGCATTGATTGAATAATCACAAGGGACTTGCAGAATCTGAAGTGTTTTCCCTAATTAGATGAAAGGTATCAAAGAGACACTGGGTATCTATTTGCTACATTCTGGACCAAGGACAGACACATGGTATATTGTTGTACTATTTAGTAGAATGCTGGGTGATTAATTTTTCTTCTCCTCACTCTCTCTGTCCAAGCTCCACCTAGACAAAGATGCCCTGCTCTCTGATCTCAGATGGGTTTGGCTAATGTAGTTCATGGGAAGGAAATTGGGGCAGAAGCAGAAAGAGATTAGGAGATCTATTCCCCTGACGCCTCATGACTCTGCTGGTACGAGTTCCGCCAGGTCCAAGGGTGGTCAGGGCTTCTCTCTGTCTTGTCTGCATTCTCCCTGTATTTCAGCATGCCCTCTGTCCTTTAATCTTGCCCGTTGCTTCAAAAATAGTCCTTTAAAGAAATTCTCAGTTCAACTCTGGGAGTAGAATCTCTATCTTGGCTGGACTCCAATACAAATACACTGAGCCATTGAAATTTTAATTTCCTGACACTTTGAACACTTAAAATCAGAAAAACATTATCCAAAATTATAGTTATTTACCCAGTATTTTCAAGTTATTTTTGGTAAATGACTTTAGTTTGAAAGCAATTCTGAAACTATAAGGGCAAATGTTTCTTAAGAAGAAGAATAATATTCCCGGTCACGGTGCTCAGAATCTTTGGCACAAAGTTTTTGGGAGTTTTCGTGTCCTGATACTTTATTTTTGTTGGTAGGTTTTGTTTTGCCTTGTCTGCTGGAGCTGTTAAAAACAATAATCAATTAAAATTCAAGGTCTTTAATCAGGTAATTAAGTATATGGATAATGTAAGCTTCTGAGGCAATGCAGCAATTGCCAAATATGTTTAGAAAAACCCTGACCTGAGAATTTAATTTTCCAGCAATAAAGATACACATTTGCATGTGACTTCTGAACATATTACAAGATGAGAAAAGTGAACATCAGACATTCTTACCATGTCCCGTAGGTAACACCCCAACTAAGAAAGCTCAGTGGCATTGTGTCACTTACAGAAAAAGTCCAGTATTTACCCTGTGTATATTTTATTTATTTATCTCTGATAGCATTTGCTGATCTTTTAAACCATTTTATTTTATATTAGATTATCTCCATATTGCTTTTATTATTTCCATATGCCCAGTTTCATTTTATTTGTTTAGTTCTTATTATGATTTCCCAAAAAACTCATACAGCACCATACAGCATTCCTTTGTCTTTTTTTAAATAAAAAGTTAAAATTTCCTCTGAATGCATTTTTTATTATAAAGTGTCTCTGTTTTATTTGCTTTCTAAATAATACATGATTTTCTTTTTTCCTTTTCCTTTGATTTAACAGATTTTCAGTGGTCTGTTTCCCAGTTTTAATGTGATTATATTTTTTACTTTTTACTTTCTTTTAGTTTTCACAAATTAGTCTTAAATAATATGACTTTCTATGTGATTGTCTTTATCTTCTAGTATCTGATAAAGTTTTGTCAAATATTCCTGTACACACATAATAAATTGAATGGATTCTTCTAGCATTCTTTCTGGATGCCCACTAAAATATTCATATTAATATTTTTTCATCTACTTTAAAATTTTTGTCATAATATCCAGATCTATATTATTTGGTCCATTTATGCTCATTGAATTCATTGCATTTTTTGTAAAAATTTTTATTAAGATATATTCATTATGCAGGGGGGGATTCATAGTGACAATTTCAGTTAGGCTTATATTGTACATCAGTTACATTGCCTCCATCCTCTCCCCTTCAACACCCTCCCTGCCCCACTTAAAGCAACTGCAAGAGGTTCTTTGTTCAGTTTCACGTAAGTGTATGAAGTCCATCAACCATACCCCCTCACCTTATCTCTTCCGTCCTCCTCCCCCTCTCATTACCCCCCCACACACCATACCTATTTTTCATTCTTGTCTTCATTCTTAACATTTGAGTTGATGTTTGGAGGGGTTTCTCAACGGGTCCCCTCTGTGGGTGTGCTTTACCTTGATTGTTAGGAGAGTCTGACCATGTGACTCCTATTTTTGACCTGAACAGTGCTTCTGTATTTAGTTCCACTTTACCTCACACATTCTTTATTTCTGCTGTGTGCATTCATTGCATTTGCTGGCACAATTTGTCTAGGCCCTTAATTTCAACATTTATTTTATTAGTATGTTTCTTATAGACATCACATAACCATTTTGTCTCTGCCTATTATAAATTTGAATTTTTATTATTTTTATAGGAGAATTCAGTATGCTTACACAAAGAGTTAGATTGTTATACTTGACTTTTCTATTTTAATTTGCCAGTTGTTTTACTTTTTCATTCTGTCTTTTTTCTGTAACTTCTATTTATTAAGGTTTACTCATAATTAAACTTATAATTAACTGTGTTATTCTATTATTATATGAAAAATAAGATATGCATTATCATGCACCCTTCCTGCAAGACATACTCTTCTCTTTGTTTTCATACTGTCTAATAAGGTGCGTGTATGTGTTTGAAATATTAATTCAATGCATTTTAACTGCAGTTGCTATAACAGAAACATGTCTAATGACTTCAAGGGAGAAGAAACAATTAAATATTTTAAAATATAAAATATGGAGAATAAGTATAACATGAATCCCACATCTTACTTTAGGAGTTTTATGAGTTCTTTCATATGATTTTAAATAAATCTGAATGTTCACTGGGATGTTTTCCAAAACATAGTGGTATTATAAAGACAGTGAGTTAATATGTAAATTAAACAGCTTTCAAGGTAAGTATGCTATCTTAATCTGATTTTTCCTTTTATAAAGCAAGGCTTGATGAGTATTCAAGGAAACTTTTTTTTGAGTTAAGGAATACAATGCCTTCTTGATTTTTGATATAGAAATTACCAGGGTAATATATGTTTAACAATTTAATTTTTAGCCATTGGTAAGATTTTGATAAAATAAGTACAGAGAATTTTAGGATTTTTTCAAATGAGAAGAGACTCATTCCAATTGCTACATTTTTAAATTTCTAGGCTCAACCACTCTAGTTGAAAAACATATAATTAAATGAATATAAAGAAATCTTACATACTGTTGGAATTTTTTCTATTTTTCCATTATTGAAGATTTTTAAGGTCTCTAACAACACTGAAATGAGTAAAGCAGTGGCAGTTAATTTTAAGGCAGACATTGTGTCAATTTAACAAATATGCATGAATTCATAAAATATGCTAGTGTAGGGGCTGAAAGTTTGGTGAAAACTGCAGGTGTCAGTGACTTTCAAGAATTTATAATCTAATGGGAATGGGGTGGAATAATGAGCAAAGGGAGTACTGAAATAAATCAAATACAGACATTTCTTGAAGCCCTTATTTGATACAGCTCATGATATTACTTATATTTGAAAAACACTGGCACAAATCTCCTGTGTCTTAGCAGTCTTCCAGCATGTCTGCTGGGTGACTTACTTTCACTTGTGACATAGTCCTGAGGATCAAGGATTCCTGACTCCTGCAGGGATCGAATACAGGAGTCCACCAGCTCAAGACCTGTTGTAAGCTCATCTTCGATATCTTTTTGACCATCTGAAATAAGACATTTTAGTGATGAATGGACCCATGACATGTTAATTCCAAAGTTTTAGGCTATCATTTAATTATTAAATAAATATCACATATTTGGCTAAAATATACTATCTTCATGAATTCCTAACAGAAACCCTATTGTAAACATTGACAACCAGCATTAAAGCCAATTCTGTGTATCCTTGCAGAACTAAAAGTGACTAGAAAATTAGGAGAACTTAATTCCCCCTAAGTTATCATAATAACTTTATGTATTTTTTACCATCATTTACCATCTTAAGTCTTCTAAAGTGCATTAAGAGAAAGGATCAGTAGGTGTGTAAATAGTGTCTGTACTTTACCTTGCGATTGCCAGTGAAACTGCTCTTCTGCCGAACTGTAAAAAAGAGAATACACAGCTATAATGCATTGATTGGAAAAGAAGGGGCTCGAAACCACAAGACACAAAGGCACATTAAGGGAGCAATGTTGGCTCTATGGCATATCTGTTATCATCTCACTGAGAAAAAGAGTCTCATTTTGATATAATCTTTTTTTTTTCATTTTTCTTTTATTATTCATATGTGCATACAAGGCTTGGTTCATTTCTCCCCCCTGCCCCCACCCCCTCCCTTACCACCACTCCGCCCCCTCCCTCTCCCCCCCTCAATACCCAGCAGAAACTATTTTGCCCTTATTTCTAATTTTGTTGTAGAGAGAGTATAAGCAATAATAGGAAGGAACAAGTGTTTTTGCTGGTTGAGATAAGGATAGCTATACAGGGCATTGTCTCACATTGATTCCTGTGCGTGGGTGTTACCTTCTAGGTTAATTCTTTTTGATCTAACCTTTTCTCTAGTACCTGTTCCCCTTCTTAATTTTAATACATTTATATATATTCCTTTTGATTCACAGGTATTACCATGCTATAAATGGACATTGTTCAATAATTTTCAGGTAGCTAGCTCATTTTAAAAAATGAATCCTAATCCATTAAACTTATTCCTTACAGTAGCTCCTGTACACATGCAGTTTTTAACAATTTCAGTTATTTTAAAATACAAGTCTGAAATGTCATACAGACTTTGCAAGCCTCATAAGAAAATAACTATCTCCTTTTTTATTACAGAGAAGATATAATAAGTCTCCCTTCAGTTTGACATTTCCTATGAACATTTCCTTTCAGTTGATTATTAAGATTTAAATTATGTAATTGAAAAATAATAATACTATCATCAACCGAATATATATTCCCAAATTCTCACCTAATAATACCTCTTACAAAATTATCCAGCTATGAAGTCACTCACATAGATGATATTCTGAAGTGGTATACAGAGTGGTTCTGTGTAAGCAACATAGATTTATTTTGAATGATTTATTAAATTCAAACTAGATAAGTAAATTTAGTTTGGAAATGTGAACAACTTTCATTGTATATGCAGGCTCTCCTGCATGCCCTCTTTTATATGTCAATAATTGATGAGAAATCCAGATGTCCAATTACTGACAGACATCATTTGGGAATGATTTTCTATACTGATTTCACCAGTATATTGATCTTTTCCTCTGATCAAGCAGCTTCTACGAATAGCTCATCAGTTCCTCAAAAGTAAGTGGATTTTATACCTTTAATCTGTACCTTAGAGGTAGCTTCTGAATATATTTGTGGCGGGAAAGGGAACTCTAACAGAAATCAATGCTCGCAAAAGCCATGATTGATGTCAATGAACACAAGAATAGTCCTTTAAGAAAGACATGACTTTTACAGGGTGTCTTGCTTCTAAGCCAACCCATATTAGCAAAGTGGAAAATAGTTTCACAATGATAAGATCTACAGACAGAATTGATATATGAAATGATAGCTTTACAAATTTATTCCCATGCAACTGCCTAGCATTAAAAAGATGTAATATTATACAGAAGCAAAATCAAACTATAAAGTTCAACCCTTAACACAGAAATGTAATCCTATAATCATTGTTTTAAAGTTTATAAGACAGGTTCATTTAGTAAGTGATATTGAGTATAAAGAAATTCCACTTTAAAATTCAGGAATTACCAGAGTAAGTCTGAACCATAGTCATCTTAGCTATTTTAATCCTCTATGAAGACTATTATTTATTATTTTCAAGAATGTGTTATCATAATTCCAGTGTTTAAATATCAATCTCACTTGGAATTTTCAGAAGCTGGACTAGAACTCAGGCATACTGATTCTGATCCAATGCTTCCTTGGGTCAGAATCATCAATAGCACTTCTTTAACACACACAAACCAGAAATTTACAAGAGCAGAAAACATATAGGCTGAACTGGGAATCTGCACTGAGTAAGGAGCTTCTGGGATGATCCCCATGGCTGCTGATGTTTAATTAATGATTCACTAAGATTTCAGAGCTGCTCCAAACTTCAATTCTATTGTATTTTAAAGCTGGACACATGCTTGAGGTAAGATAACATTCTAAGTGTGTATGTACAAGCCATGGATTTGCATAAAATACTTTCATATTGTGGTAGACTGAATGATGGCCTTCTGACCCCAAGAGATTAGTCTATATCCAAAGCTTGAAACCTGTGAATGGTTCTTTACTTGGTAAAGGGTTTTTGAAGCTACAGATAAGTTAATGATCTTAAAAAGTGATCATTAGTGATTATCTAGAGGACTCTAAATCCAATAACAATCTCTTTATAAGACATGGAAGAACAGGCACACAGATGCAGGGGAGATGGCCAAGTAAAGATGGAGGCTGGAATGATTTAGCACAAGCCAAATACTGCCTGATGCCATCAGAACTTAGAAAAGGTGTGAAAGGAATCTCCCATGGGAAACTGAAAGGGAACGTCATCCTCATAACACCTTGATTTTTAACTTTTGATCTCCACAACTGTGAGAGAGTATGTTTCTTTTGTTTTAATCTACTCGGTTGTGATAATTTGTGTGGCAGCCCCAGGAAACTGAAATGCTGTATTTTTTTCTGGTACAATAAAAAAGTTTTCATGTTATATCCTCCAGGATTTGCTACTATTTCTGTACCACTAGAGTCCTTTTCCAATGCAGTTATTTATTATGAAGTGCTTACTGTATACTGGATCCTGCTATTTCACAACAATTGCAAAACTCTTTTTTTATAGATGGGGCTTAGTAATGTTAAATAACTTAACCACACCTCATCAGGGACTCAGCAGATTTAAACTAATCTGCACAACACCAAAACACTCGTCATTCACAATCTAAAATCATGGTGGGAAACTCACTCAAATCAGTGCAAGTGAGCCAGTCAATGGAAGCACCCCCATGCTGCCCCCATGCCACCCCCAGGGCTCAGCAAAGTCTAGCTCTTTTCTTACAGCCCCTTGCATGTAAGTGGGTTTGTGGAGAAGCCTGTGAGAAGAAGTGACAGGTGTCACTTCCGGCCCAAGCACACAGGGCAGGAATGAGGCCTTCATGCTCTTGCATAAGCTCTGCATGAGAACAGGTTCCTCCGTGACCACATGAAATTGAGACTTATGTCAACTCACAAAGAACATAGAGCACAAGTGAGAAGTAAACCATTGTTGTATTAAAACTGAAACCGAAGGATTGTTTGATTCTGTAGAATAGATGTCACAGTGACCAGCGGAGATATGTGCCATCATTTGCATCTACAAGGCATTTCTTGCTTCTCAACCTTCCATCTGTACAGTACAGAGGTGGATAAAAATGTTGGGGCAACCTTAGCACAAATAGGGTGCTCATCCACCGTTACAGGTGATCTCATACATAAGGCTCCGTATTACTCTATTATATAACATTTATTGTTCTGTTCATCTCTTTAAAAAGTGTTTCAATTTTATGATGCAACAAAACAAGAAGAAACATTTTTTATTACAATTGAAAAAGTACCATTGACAGTGAATATTAAACCAACCTCTCAGAGCAGAGGCACCTTCCTTGTGGGCAGACAAAAAGCATTAATCACTTCAATGGTTTCTCTTATTCCTTTAGCACAGTTAAAATGCATTAAAAGTATGACTGATCACAGAGAATAGAAGTCCCCAGAGAAAGCTGGTTTGGATTTTATTTCCTTTAAGTGCACACTTTCCTCTCTCTGCTAGGCTATTCTATGTAATTGCGTATTTTGTGTACTTAATTTTTGTCTCAAAATTGCTGGAAGGTGGGTGCTTTTAAAAAAAAATCAAACAAACTATTTATTTATTTAATAAATATGGATTATGCCTATGTCTGAGATACTCTCATATCAGGTGTTAGAAATTACCTGCAGTAAACTATCTCTCAATTATATAATTGAATTTAATGTCATAGAAAAGTCCATTTTTCAAATGGTGCAACTTAAATGCATTTTAAATTTTGGGAAATAAAGTTTGCTTTCATTGTTGAAACAGAGGTCATGTCTAAAAAATTAAATTTAAGAAAAATAATAGATGTAATTTCAATCAGTCCACAGGTACTTAAACATACTACATATGTATGAGTTCCAGTAAAAAGTGACTGAGGAAAATATGAATTTATAACAAAGACTGCCATAAATAGCATTTAACCTTTAAACAAATGCATGCATCAGAAATTCTAGAAAGAGATCTTAGAGATAATACATTAAAAACACAAACCCTAAGGCTAGAGGTGTGGCTCAAAAAGAACACTTGCTGCCTAGCAAGCACAAAGCCCAGAGTTCAAACCCTGATATTGCCAAAAAATTTTAAAAAATTAAAAGCAGAAGAAAAACCAAACCCTAAAAGCTAATACTTGTAAAGCTCATGCTTTACACCAGGTAGTGTTCTGAATGATTTACAGTTGTTCTTCAGTCTGAACCCTGGACTTTACACCTGCTAAGCACATGCGTGAAGCTCCAGCTACACCTCCAGCCCACGATGATAAAGCTTTTGAAGTATTGTTTCCTAATTTGTAGGAAATGAAACCAAGGTAAAAAAGATGCTAAAGAAGTTGCTGGAGGTCCCACAGCAGGCAAGTAGTGGGGCCAAGATTAAGATCTTGGCTTCTGGTTCTAGAGTCCATGTTTTGAACTGTTGGAGTCACACATCTGGCTGAATCAGAATTGAATTCATATGTGACTAAAATGTAACAGTATAAACCAAGTTGAAAAACAGCTGTAATGCATGTAAGTAAAAAGGGAGTTTCCAGAATGTATAATCAACTCTTAAAATCAATAATAACAGAGATTAAAAATCAAATGAAAAGAAGGATCAAGAAATGTGCACAGCTGATACATAACACAATAACCAAGTATGAACACGTTAAAGGAACTGCAGTAAAACTAAACACACAATGCTTCTTTATACCCTTCAGGCTGTCAAAAAATTTGACTGTCTAATGGTACTGAGTGTTAGAGAAGAGAAAGGAAGTTAGCTATCTGTTTTGTAGGTAAGAGAGCAAGCC